CCCAATAATTGCACAGAAGAAACTATGTGAAGTGGGTTTTTTGTCCCCTCTCCCCATTCCCATCCCACCCCACCCCCTTCCTCTGCCTTTAATGCCTGCAGGTCAGGATCGAGCTAATGCCTCTTCTGGATGTAGGGCAGAAAGGGAGAGTGTGGCACTTGGGCCTAATCTTCAGCGGCTGACACTTCATAGGCCTCTGAGCTTGAACCCTTCCTGTCAGATGGATTTCGTGCAGCTGAGTGGCTTCCCCTTAGATCTGCCTCCGAGAGCCGGAGCCCAAGCGGGGAGGCATGTGGTGGAGCCGAATGGAAGTCACGTTGCCTCTCTGTTAAAACTTGCACAGTGCCGTGGAGCTGCTCGGACTGGATGTCACCTGGGGGAATAAAGTCATTTATCTAGATTACTTTTTCCTCCCTTTCTCTTGACTTAATTCCATAGCTACAGGCAAGGCAGTCCGTGGTTGCTCACACATATTAAATATATTTAATGGGCAGAGACCTGCAAGTGCTGAGCTGCAGCCAGTTCCTTGTTTTTTCCCCTCTAGACCTTGACAATTGATTCATATGTAATTCTATTCCCAAAGTGGAAAAATGTGTCTTTTGTGAGCTCTTCACACTTTTTCTTAGTTCTTTGTAGTCTGACCTCTTAACTTTGATACATTTGAAACTTGTTAGGCAGTGTTTTTCCGAGATAGAGGACTCCGCTCTGTCCTTTAAAGAGAAGGCGGGCTGTGGGGGGCGGGGGGCGGTGGAATCCAGTTGCACACGCAGGGCAGCTGCACACGCATCTGAGCGCTCTTCCCGGAGGGCAGGGAGTTCCCACTGGGAAAACAGACTCCTGCCCTGGAACATTTTTTAAAATGTAGGTGTGTTTCTTATAGTAAAAATAAATAAGTTCATCTCAAGGAATCAAAAATATTTTTAATGATCGTTTTCTAGATAACCTCACATTTCTGGTGGACCAGTGAAACTAACATGGCCTCAACAAATGAGTATAACATGAATATAAAGTGAAAACCAATCGCTAATTAATGATAGCAGCCTGCACCTAGCCCCTGAGTCAAACGCCCACCCCACCCCCAACCTTTTTTTTTTTTTTTTTAAGTAGACTTCCTGGCACTGCTCTTGGGGACTGGAGGGGACCCAGGTTACCCAGAGACCCTGTCACGGTTGGCAGCCCCTCTCTTAGGATTCTTTGCTTTTAGTTTTGACCCAATGTCTTTCATTAATTGCCAGTAAACTGTGCAAGGGAGCCTGGAGCTCAGAGGAGCAAAATCGTTGGTCATCTGGCTAACAAGCTGCCGTTCCGCCATGGGACCAGCCTGTCTCTTGGTGTCTTCAGGTCGAGTCTCGCCTTTAGATGTAAACGAGCCCTGTCTGTGCATCAGGTGTTGTCGGAGCCTCTGTGAATGGCCTGGGTTGGGCTTCCTGGTGCCTCACAAGGGAATTGTACCTCTTCACCCCGGTGCTAGCGGGGGGAGCCCTGGCTGCGATGCCTGGGCCCAGCCAGCGGGTACGTGTGCCTCCAGTGAGCCTGGTCCGGGAGCAGGGAGCGCATTCCCATGAGGCGGTGGAGTGTTGGTAGAAATTTAAAGCATGAAGCAAGGGCATGGTTCTTGGGAGATGCTGCTAACCTGCCCTTTTCACTTCTGGTGTTTTCAGATGGACACTGAGTACCGTGTGAGGAAATTCATGGCCCTCTTAAGAGAAGAAGGAGCGTAAGTAGATGTGACACTTGGGAAACCCCAGTGCTGGTGTTTTATCTAGTGTTACCACAGAGATACCATAGGTCAATGACTGCAACGAGGGGAAGCCTGTCTTCTCACCCTTGAGGAGGCCGGAGGTCCTGCAGAGCCCCGGCTTCCTCTGTCGGCGATGGAGGAAGGCCCTTGTCTCCAGCTTCTGCTTCCTGGTCCCTCGGAGACTTGCGTGTCTTTGTCGTCTGTCTTATTCCATCTTTCCTGCTTGCTTGCTGATTTCATCTCTTTTATCTCTCAAGAGAGATTGACGCAACACCTACCCTACACTCTTCCTGCCTTATTAACAAAGGCCGCCCATTGCCAAGTGGGATGAGAACCACCGACATAAGGGTTAGGATTGATATCGCACTGTGGGAGGATTCTGTGCAATCTTGACACTCCCCCCGGAGGCGAAGGCGATCTGGCTGCAGCATCTGTCAGCCCATGATGGCCAGGGTGGATTCAGGAGATCTGACTGGCTAGGCAGGTGCCCCTTGCTCCCTCACCGCTCCATGTGCAGACTCAGTTGAAGAGGACGGCTTTTCTGGACTTCAGTCAAGGACATGCAAGGAGCTGTGCTCCCCTGCTAGAACCTCCACACGAGCTCTCAAGGCAAAACCCCGCTTCATCTGTGAGCGTCTGACATCTAGACGACAGGTTGTCTTTGTCAAGTACACGGTCAGGCACAAGGCAGACATTTCTACTACAAATAGGAGACGTCGGAGGGAGAGAAGGGATCAGAGGCCCCATACAAGCCCACAGCCCGGGAAGAAAACCATCCTCCTTGGAGGCCAACAGAGAAGAGTTACTCTGGCCTGTTTCCTGCCCAGAAGGCAAACAGCATTCTTCCCTTTTACCCTTTGTCCTCTTCCGTCTAAGCTGATGAGTTTTCTGCTGTGTTTTTTATTAGATTCATTAGTCACAAGCTTAGCCTCTCAGGAAAGATTGGATAGCCACATTTTTGGTGAACACCCTAGAATGCGTGTCCTTACTTTGTACAACGAACTTTTCCAAATCTTTATGTTCTGTTCTAATTCCGCCCCGTTCATTTTGCAAGTTCATCTTTCCTCTCAGATTTTACTGTAAGCAGCAAAGCACTTAGACCCTTTCAAATCTGGCTCAGAAATCTCTTTAACCAGATAGCCAAGGCTTTCACCGAAAAACTCCACCTTCCAAGAAACACTTGCACACAATTCTAACGAGTTCTCGGCCACCGAATAAAGTGCAAGAGCCCTTCCTCCATCGTCCAAGCCCATGTTCGCGTAAAGCTTCACCAGACCCCATCCGGCACCCACATGCTGCTGGTGGGGCCGCGGTGTTCTCTACGCTCCCCTTCCTTCTTTCTGTGCCCTCACCAGACTTGCCCTGGGCACCCGCAAGTCCACCAAGTCTCTTCAAAGGCAGTCTAGGCCTTTCCTGTTAGGGCACCTTAATACTCTTCCAGCCTCTATCCGCTTCCCAATTCTAAAACTGCTTCCACGTTTTAGATTATCTGTTGAAGCAGCCCTCCACTTTTCTTGTACCAGATTGTCTTGTCTCTAGTACTGTTATATCAGGCTCTGAGGTTCGGATTTCCTCCATCGATTTTTAGGGCACACTGGTCAATCCCCAGCAGTTGTGCTACATGCATATTTACCCGCATGTCTGCGCCCTAAGACAATTCTGTTTGCGTTTACTAGACTCTTTCCTATGTTGCAGGTCTGAGAGACCGAGCAAGGAACTGGGTTGTACTGTGGGTTTGCTCTCCCTGTCCAGCTTCACAAAGCTCCCTGTCATGATGCACGACAAAGCTCAAGGGTACATGTTTAGTAGAACCTGCTCGTATGTGCATGGAGCTGTGATCCTTTCCTTCTGTGTGATGCTCACTCGTAGCACATGCCTAGTGAGAAATGTAGAAACCTTGGAAGAAGCATTTAGTGCCTTCCTTTGCAGACTCTGACCTGTTGTGTGTGTGTGTGTGTGTGTGTGTGTGTGTGTGTGTGTGTATTTTCCCTCTGCAGCAGCCCCCTTGACTATGATTGAAAATGGACCAGCCACAGCACACAGTGACCAAGGGAAATGACCAAGTGCAAGCCGGGCTGGGATCTTCACTCCTCTTGCTCAAGATACTGGACGCAGTGAAATGTCCTCCACCATCACACGCGCACGCTCTGCATGTGTAGTGCAATAAACCCCTTTCTTCTGCTTGCTGATAGTCTAGTGTTTTGTGGAAGGTACAGGTCTGCTTTAGAATGCTGTGCTTACTTCTCTGTGCAAGCCGATCCCTCCTTACTCAGGTTTATGTGTGAGAGGTGTACTGTACTTGTGAACACTATACATTTGAAGCTCCCTACCACCACCACCACCCCCGAGAACTCTCAGTAAATGTAATGCACGCAAGCCAACACACGACCAAGTGGAATGAAGACTTCTTATGTGCAAACCAGGAACATGGGCGAGCGCTGTCGGTTTAAAGGGGTTGTCTGGCAGCTTCCCTGTGCTGATGACACTCAGGGCTAGTGGGGATGTGGTTAAAGGTTCACCTCCAGAAACCCGGTCTACTTGCTTTGCCTGAAGAAGCGCGTCTCGGGACTCCTAGCCATCTTCAGACCTGTTTCCGAGTTGCCGCCAAGAGGCGGCCTTTCTGCACTGGAAGTCCTGACTGGGTGACTGGGAGGCGGTTGGGGGTGGCCTGTGACATCCCCTTTAAGGAAGCAGTGTACTCCTTGGGGGGAGAGATGGTCATTGTCACCACTGGGGAAATGTTGGCAACAACCTGTGAATGCTGTGTGGGGAGGAGAGAACATGCATTCCTTAACAGAAAGGACTTACTAAAACCCATTTACAGACCTCTCAGCATTAATTAGTACCCAACTCTTAAGTGGGTCAGTTCCTTAGTATGGTATTAAGGACCTATTAGTGATACCACCTTTGGGGTTTTTTTTTCCCTCTCAGCTGAATGCCTTAGTTGGAACTCACCCCCTTGAAATTATCTTTATTATGCAGTATCATCTAAAACACTATTCTCCCAAAAAGCAATCCCCTCCCCCCGCCCAGCTTCCTGTATCCATTCCGATGCCCTGACCAGGTGTCCTCTACCTTCTCCAGGCTTCTGCAGAGGGAAGGAGAGCTCACGGGGCCTCCGGCGGGTGCTTGGCCTCATATCTGAGTTAGAAGGAATGTAATTAGGTCGTCTTATTTGGAGATGAGACTGGCAGCGCATGCCACCCTCTCCCCATCGCTGCTTAAAATGAGAGGATGCCCGGGAGCCGCCTGAAGGGGCTTAAGGGCAGTGAGGGTACTCCACAGTGGCACTTCCAGGTGGCTGTCATTGTCCCTGCGGCAGAGGGCAGACCTGCTCCATGCCTTGCTGTCTGTGTGCTTTTGGTTGACACTTATCTGTTGCATTTCTTTGGTTTGGGGGTCTCCCCCTTGCTTATTCTGTGGCTTTGTAAACAGTGGACTGTGTTGTATAACCCTGTGACCCCTGGTGGCCTGTATCCTGGAGCCCCTGACCTGTTCCGCCCCTGCTCTCTCCCCTTCCCACAAAGCAGCACACATTGTATTACCTAATGTCTCGTTAAATGAGGGTAATGTTTTTGTGTTTTGTCCAAAACTATATTGAAGAAAATTCTGAATATTATATTGTTAAATGCAAATGAAGGAATGCAATAAATATCCGTGGAAATGTCTGGGCGCCCATTATTCTACACAAACCGGCCGGCTGTCCAGGTGTGACTATGTGAGAAAGAGGGGCCCGGAGGAGAAGCCCCTGTGGTGTCATATAAGGCAACAAGTGGTTTTTCCTTAAAATACTGCTTTTAGTTTCTGAGAACATGTAGTTATTTAAAAAAATAACGTAGTTATTTTTAAAAAATAGCATATATAAGAGCTAATGCACAAAAACTTTTATACTTCGCTTGTGCTTATTTGTACCTATCAATAATCAGAGGTGCCAACGCTGTACACGAGATGAGGGCTAAGCCAGAAAGGGCAGGTGTTCCCTGGTGAGCATCACTCCTTCTGGTGGAATGTACAAGGAATGTGTTCCGTGAGCCTTTTTCACGTGGTGAGTGTGGGTAGCGAAGGTTTTCCATTTGTTTTGAAAGATCAAATCTAACAGCTCAACCCTGATCCTGCCATGGCTCAAGCCCTCTCTGAGCCCAGGAGAGCTGGAAGCCCCTCAGTCCCTGTCTAACCTTGCCCAGGTCATTTCTGGAGGAATCCCCAAACTCCCAAACTTTTTCAAACCAAGTGCTTGGCAACAGAGCAGCCGAAGCTACAGCCCAGGCTGGGATAGAATACAGGCAACTCCACCCGCATCTCCCTCACTGCCCTGTTCTTCCCAGGGGGCTGAAAACCTCAAAAGAAGAAATTCTTTTATCTTTACTAAATGTGACCATCTTCACTGTTTTAATGTAACTCAGGAAAAATGTGGTCCATTTGTGGTCAAAATCTGCCTGGGGGCTATAATGAACCGCCTCCACTGTAAGCTTCAGCAACAGGTCTTGAAGCCACGGCGTGGATTCAGGTGCATCTCTAATCAAGCTCAGAGTCAGCTCTGAACACCCACTCCAGCCCGAGCCCGAGCCCGAGCCCGGGTACAAGCAAGGCGGCCTTCCCCTGGCCTGGCAACTTGGCCCGTCAGCCTCTTCAAAGACGTGGCGGGGAGAGGTGTGTGTGCAAGTTCAAAAAAGCATGTAAATGCCAGGAGTTATTGCAAAACCATCTACAGAGTCTCATCAGCTGACAGCTCCCGAGCCCGGGCTCCTGGCGCCGAGCCCACTGAGGGCGTGTGCTGGACGGACACCAGGACAGGGCTGGCACAGGAGACAGCGCCTGTGTTCGCAAGAACCCCAGGAGATGAGGATGGAACTTCGAGGTCCCCAGTCCAGTCTCCACCCAGCTAACCGCTCACAGTTTGAGGAGCGAAAGATTCACGGCCAAGGTGGCGATTTGCCTCCTAGAAGGTTTTGGGAGAGGAGCGTACCACGGCTTTACCGAATGAATTGTTTGTGTCGGTAGTCCAGCCACCCGCTTGGCGTGCGTGCCCTCATATGTTGGGCTGGCGTAGGCTATGCCCTTAGAAATGCCTAGGTTAGTGGCACCCTCCCTCGTCCCTGCCGGTCTCTGCGTTTTCCTTTCCTCCTCTGTGCTTTCTCAGAAGCACATCCCCCTCATCCTCCCACTCTCACACCTTCCTTTGCCTTCATTAAAAAAAGAGAAAAAGATGCCTCTTTGAAATCCATCTTCTCATTATATTTCCTTTGGGGAGCACCTTTTCCCCCCTCTAACCACCTCCTTGTTCCTGGGGTGTGTGCGCATTTGTGCTTGCAGAGAAACAAGATGTTCACTCTATAAACGGTCTTCTCTTTAATCATGGCACATGATTAATCCTAGGCGGGATTATAAATGGCCTTGGTAATTGTGAATAAGCACCATGTGAGTATTCAGCAATCTCATAGGTGGAGAAGGGAAAAGGGAGCCAGGATGCTGGGGAAGATGAGTATGAAAATGAAGACGAGACCAGATGCGGAAGAGGTGTGTGCCTGCTCTCTCTGTCCCATTCCTGGAACACGTGACCGCCATAGTGTTTGTCGTTTAAGCTTCTCAGGAGCTAAACAGACACCTGGTGAGCAGAGCAACGCTAGTGGCAGCTCCTGAGCCACGGTGGGAGGAAGGTCCGAGTGGGCCACAGGACACAGGCTCTGTTCTGCTCTTGGCTCTGCCCCTGAGAGGCAGGTCAGGAGGAGGAGAGGGGGAAGGAGAACGTCTTCGCCATTCTCGTCGACCTTGTACCAAGCAAAGCACAGGTGTCACTGCACGATTAGGTCTGAAGGCCACATGAAACCGAGTTAGAGCCCCTCACAGTTGAGCAGGTGTGACGTGTGGGCCAACCCTTTGGGAGCCAAAATGCAAGAAGAGAATAGTGTTCACAGCCCAAACCAATCCCGAAGGGCAGCGACACCTGGTCCAGACAGATGCTGCCAGGCTCCGACACACGGTTGTCTTCCCTGACCCACTTCCCCTTCCTTCCACAGCCTAGCTCCCACAGCCAGTTCGCAGGGGAGAGGCCATTTCCAGGCAAGCATCCCTTTCAATAGAGCTAATCCTCCTCCCCAAGTCAATGGAGCTGAAAGCAAGGAGGAAAGGAGCAAGCCAGCACTAATCCCAGGGCCTGCTAGCCACACCCTGTAGGAAGTGCGGGGGTCCAGGAAAGGAATGGCTGCCTTGGTGGGTTAGCGCCCAAACCAGAAATTCTTCACCAGAAACTTAGAGCAAAGTAAGCCTGTCAGGACACCTAGATCAGACCTACCGTCCATGGCATCCTAGATACACTGGCTTAGTGGACTTGACCATCGAGGAGCGTGAGCATGGCCCAGCAGCAGACAGCCCTGACCTGCACATCCATCTGGAAACTCCACACACGGTACAAGGTATCCATTCTCAGGTTTCATTTACCTTCTCTTTAATGACTTAACAAAAAGAAACTGCATGATGAAATATATTTTCTCCAAATATATATATATTTATATAATATATAATCTTAGTTAACTCAAAGGTATATACATCGTATAATAAATAATATTTATAAAAAGAGACTTTTTGAATATAAAATCAAAAAGATCAACAACTTCTACAACTTTTTACAAAACTTTGGATACAGCAGGTTGGAGCCTAATACCCGACTGGCGAGGATACTTACAACGCACTCCATGGACTAGTATTAAATAATGACTTGTCAGCTACTTGAATACTCCCAGAAACATGACTTTATCACTTTTAATATAGAATACATAGATATAAAAAGATGGGCAGTTCTGAACATTTGTATCCATTCTGCTGAGATGACCTCCCGTTAAAGCAAGCATCAGTGGGCAGGGCTGGGAGCACTGCCAGCCAAGGGGAGAGGGGGAGGAGCTCCGCAGACTCCAGGGCGCAGGCGCAGCTTGGAGACTTTGGTCTTGGCAAGCCTGCCAGAGCAAGCAAGAAGACTGTTGGCCGGCTCTCAGGCCACTGTTTGGCAGGGCCGGGAGAGATGGTGGGAAAAGAAAGAAAAAGCTTGGTTCTGCTCTCAGCCCTGCTGCACCTCTTCTGTCGGGGTCTCCTGAAGACAGATTCCTTCTCTGCCTCCCATCCATCCATTCGACTCCCTCGGCTAGGTAGCTTCCTATAGGACACTAAGCGTGTAGAACTCGGCGGTGAGATGCTTTAACCAAGGGCGTAAGTGCCCACTCAGCCCCGTTAGAATGCCCAGTGAACCTAAGCTTGGATGGCGGCTGTCTCAGAACACTGGGTTACAGTAGAGGGCTGCTGATCCTGCATCCCTGTTGGCTCCCACAGGCCAGAGAAAGAACAGGTGGGTGAAGACGTGCCCTTGTTGGGGAGGAAATGGCTGAGATCTCTGGACTAGGTCACTACTCTCTCAGTGTCCCTTGAAGGTGACCTGGAGTCGAGCTGCCCTCCCTGCGCTGTTCTGATGAAGCCTACAGGTGAGCCCGGCCTGGAAGGGCTCGGCGGTCCCTTCCCGAGAGACTACTGTGGCTATGGGGGCTGAAGGCTGCTTGCCCCAGACAGAACCCGGTCACAAAGTCTACTATCAAAAAAGTATAAAGACACTGCCCAGGCGGTGGGAACTGAAGAACGGCAGGAAGTTCACTTCGCGATGGAGCTGCGGTTCCCAGGAGCGCCTCCTGGAGACCGACAAGAACCCAGCTGCTCACAGCCAGAACTCCATGCTCCGCAGGGCCCCCGGCCACCCTCACAATTACCTGGGCCCTGCACCACTTGGTGCTAACTACATCTACGGCTTTTATCAGCCTGTGACGGTAGAGCAGACTGGAGTGGGAGTAGACCAAAAAGGGACTCTGCGGAGGTTTGTCTTACCCACTTCACAACTCCCACCGCACAGAGGTCTCGGAATGCCACCAGAAGAAGCCGTTTGGAAACGAGTCTTGCCCATACTGGCGTCTCGGCCACCAGGCAGAGAGCGCCATGTTCGCCCAGCCTGGCCTGTGGGAGTAGTTTCTGTTTTGTTTCATTTTTATTTTCTTTTAACAATGTGCAAAGAGAAGCTGTGGGTCTGTTCCTATCAGACCCTAGAGAACCAAAAAGAAAGCCCCTTCTTAAAAAAAACAAAAAACAAAAAAACAACCACACACCATCCAGGGTCCAGTGAGAAACTTAGAGGAGAAAGGGGGAAGCCTCTCCGCCACTGGGCGGGTTGGGTCCAGGTCATTTACTACCGTGCATCTGACAACAGTCCATGTGCCTTGCTGTCCGGTGCTGAGGGCCGAGACCGGCTCCAGGGCCTGCTTCCCATGGGACTTCGGTGAATCCGCCCAGTCACACACTTCACCCGTTCCCAGCACCCTTTGGGAAAACAAAGGGAGATCATTGGAAACGGAATTCCTTTCCTAGAGAAGCCACCCAGTGGAATGCCAAGATAGTGGAGGCTGCCTGCCGGCAGGTGCTCACACCACCAAAAGTGGCAGGGGTTCTGTGTGTCCCTCCAGTGCCCACAAGTCTATCATGGAGGGAGGCCGAGTGCTTTCCAGGAAGAGCCGTAGGGCTCGAGGGGCCACCGGTGGGGATCCATAGCCTTCCTCCCCCACTTTCTCGCTGGGAGCCTCCGGCAACAGGAAGCCCAGTAGCAAGCTGTTCCCAGAGTGGAGGACTTCGGATAAAGCCTGGGAGGAGGCCCAGTCCCCGATGTAAAGCAGACCCGTGTTATGTGTGTGTGTGCCATCAGTGATGAAAGGTCTCAACATGAGAACATCTATTTCACTAACTCCGAATAAGCCCTTCCCAGGAGGATGCTGCAATGTGCATGCGTATGTCTGTTTATCTCTCTTACAGGATTGCAGGCCAAAGCCTATGTGACAGCGGGGTCCACAGCCCCATGGCTCTTGGGGCAGAGCCAGGGCCTGGGGCCATCCAGGCCACTTGACTCCTCTCTAGGTCCCTTTCCAGCTCCTTGGGCTCAGCGGGTACTCGTAAGATGGGACTTAACGGTGAGCTCCAGGCACTGGACAGGTTGGCCTCCTCATTCAAGAAGGGCCGTGGCAGGCCTCGTTGCCCTTCTTGTGGCGTAAAGGGCTCCTGACCCTTATCTCCCGCCTACCTGCCTGTCCAGACAGTGTCGCCAAGAGAAAAGCTGGAGGGCCTGGCCATGCCATCCCCACCAGCTGGCCTCAGTTTGCCGCCTTGTACACAGCGTGCTGGCACAGAGAAGGGGGGGAAGACATAATCGAGTGTCCAGCCAGCAGAAGTCTGGGCAGAATCACGCCAGGAGGCCAGCCTGTGGGGCTCCCACAGTGTGTGTCTGAAGGGCATGGGCCAGGGTCTGCCGTGGGTATAAGACTGCAAAGACCACCACTCGTCTGACTCAACCATGGGGGAGGAGGAGGGCTGGGAGAGAGCAGTTTCTTCTCGAGAGTCCATGGAGTGTGGAGGCTGGATGGAAGGGGGTAGGCATGCCAGATACCCAAGCACCAACCCTCTTTTCCCCTCACGGAGGATGGCTTTTTCCAGCTATCTAGCCTGGGGGGGTGGGGGTGTGTGTGCGCTGGATTTGAACTGGACAAGAGTTGCAGGAGTCCCTATCTGATACATCTTCCCCTTAGAGCCACTGATAAGGCTGGGGCTGCTGACTCACGCCCCACCTATGGTCTTTCTGGCCACCAACTCAATGTCTCCATCTGTGAAATGGGCGGGCTCTAGGCCCTACCAGGAATTTGCTTTCTGGAAGTGACTTCCCTTCTGTCTCTCATTCTCGCTAGTCACACCCCACTGCTGGATGACGGGGACCCTGTCATCCACCCTCTAGTCTTGGGTGACCTCAGAAGAAGGTGGCCACCGCCGTTTTCACACATCCCTGACACCTTGGCTGGCTACTGTTGGCCCGGGAGTTTCCAGTTAGTGCCCAGCCTTTGTTCCATCTCTGTGAGAAGCAGTAAGTCAGATTGCCCGAGTGACGGCACTATTTCTGGCCACAGCCACCACACCACATCATGAGTCTCTGAGAGCCTTATCCTGCTTCCTAGTCCTGAGCACTGTGCGGGCTGCACCACCCTCACACGGCCCAGCCGGCACCAGCCCCAGGCAGGCAAGTCCTTAGCGCCTGACCGAGCAGGAGCCCCCGTGCTCTTGGTGTTTGTTCCTGACCTAATGAATGACAGGTGGGGAAACAGGTCTGGGAAGGAGCTCTTGTCTGGGTCACACAGGTGGCAGATCATGGCAGCCAGGCAGGGGCTGCCACCACTGTTAAACACTGTCCAGTCAATCCCAACTCCTAGCCACCTTATACGACAGAAGGTGTTCTCTAGGCTGTAATCTTTATGGGGCAGATCACCAGGGCTTTCCTCCAGCGGAGCTGCTGGTGGGTTTGAACCACCAACCTTCCAGTTGGCAGTGAAGCACTTAACCATTGCACCAGCAGGCCCCCTTGATCCAGGGCTAGGCTAGTCAAGGCCCAGGCCTCTAGAGGCCCTGGAACACTGGGGGACCACCCTATGCCACACCCAGCTACTCCTGGGCTTTCAGGGCTCCGAGGGCCAGGGCAAAGAGCCTCCCACGCTGACCACCTCTGGGAAGCTTGGGAACACAATCCAGGGCTTTTGATCCCTGTATTACTCACCGCCGTCACTCTGAACTTGAATCCCTCCTGCTCCCACCATCATCCATAAACTCCATGTGAATGCTTTCTGCTCCACCCAAGCCACAGATCCCCCAGCATAAGGCCGCTTCCTCCACCCGCTTTCCTGAGGTCCCTGGGATTTATGCTTGTGCAAAAACTTGCCCTCCGTGTTCAAGGTGGATGCAAACTGCTTGTGCCCCCAGGGACAGAGGACATTTGCCCTTTCAGCCTACTATTTCAAGAATGTCAACCCTAATTGTACAGTGAGGAAAGCGAGCCCTGGTGGAGTGAAGGACCAGGAAGTTCAAGGCAAAGAGGGAACTAGAAACCGGGCCTCTCTGCTGCTGGCCCCACATGGTCCACCTTTTCTCTCCACAAACACTCAACAGTGCTAGCCAGTGGCCATGCAAAAACCTGCCCCGGCTCATCATGTGCTAATTTGTGTACGATGTTTTAATCAATGGTTTGCTGCTTCAGATGAACACCTGTGGTTATTATGTGTGCTCCGTGTCATCCAAGGCTCTGCCCAAAGGTGGCCCATGGAAGCTGGAAAAATCTTAGCTTCCGGATCTGACAGCAGGAGAAGAAGGGCCAATGCAATTCTAGTCCAAGGGCCCCCAGCTGCACCACCAGGGAGCCTACCTTGCTGGCTACTTGCAGGTGTGCACGTCGTAGATGCGGACACACTCCTGGCAGCTGACGTAGCAGCACCAGTGGAAAATGCAGTGGCACTTCTCCTTCCGCTTCTCCGTCCTCGTGTTGTGGCCACGGCCACAACAGAGCAGGTCGCAGCCATCAATGCCGTGGGACGTGACATTGCAAGTCCGGTCCCTGGTGCCAAAGGAGCCCGTCTCAGGGTTGGGCTCGCAAAAGTTGGGGGAGTTCTCGTAGTAGACCAGGTCCCTCTCGGTGGGCGGCTTGAAGAGCGCGTACTTAGCCCGGAGCGTCTCCACCCAGCCGCGGGACTCGCGGTGCTTCTCCACCACCATCTCCGAGGCGCTGTCGTATTTGTCCTTGAGGAAGTCGCCGATGGCCCGAAAGTCAGGCTGGGCCCACCAGCAGGTCTTCACCTCACAGCTGCCCGACAGCCCATGGCATTTGCACTTGAGGTGCATGTGGTCCAGGATGGTCTAGGGAAGAGGAGAGGCCGCTCGAGCCCGCACTGACCACTCATCGGGGCACACCTCGACCCTTCCGCCTCGGCCTCCCCATCCCTGCAGCCTTCTCGGCTCGGCTCGGGAGGAACTGCTGGGACCACCCAAGACCCACCGGGCCCAACACTGGTGACCACGGTGGCGACGCTCCCCTCAGCGCAGCCCGCCCTAACCCGTATCGCGGCTGCTGGCGGCCGAAAGGGTGGGAAACACCGGCCACCCGCCTGGGCGTAAGTGACTCGCTCCGCGCCGCCAGGAAGACATGGGGGCCAAGTGCAAAGTCCAGGGGCTGGGCTAGCCTGGCCGGGCACCTGCCCAGTGGGGTGGCCACACTCCCAGACCCACCTGTGTCCAGGAGGGCAGCAGGATAAGGGAGGGGTCACACCTGGCCAAGGGGCAGCGAATTTGGGGCTCCCGCAGCACAGGGCTGCCGGAAGGGGCGGGGTGATGGGCGAGGCCAAGGCGGCAGGGCGGGGGCATGCGAGGGGCCGGGAGGGACCCGCGCTCACCGTGCGACCCGCTTCGTTGTTGTGCTTGTTCATGGCTGAGCGCGCATCCGGCCTGTTCTCGCGTGCGTCTGCGAACTCCCGAGACACCAGCACCCCGAAGTCGGCGTCCTCGCTGCAGCCGCCCCACTTCCAGCCTTCGCCGGGTGGTCCCTTATGATGCGAGTCGCAGCCGCAGATGGTGGAGGTGCCCTCGGCGCAGGAGCGCGTGACGGCGAAGGCCACACCAGCCGAGGCGATGGCATGCACAAAGGCCGACTCACGGGTGGCTGTGGGGAGGTCAGGGGGCAGCGGGGCTCAGGACTGGACCCTGCAGGCAACCGCCCTTACCGCCGCCACCTCCCCAGAAAGGGAGCGGGGGTGGGGGTGCGGGGGGGGGCCTGGGCAAGGAAGAGCAGGAGCTTTTCCCCAAGGAGAAGAGGAATCCCCAGCCCCCCCATCACCACCATCATTGGCTGACCCAGCAGAGCTGTGTATTCCCACTGTAGGAATGAGGAAACAGAGGCCCAGGGACAGAGTGTTGGAAATTGTCACTGAGCAGCTTTGGAAGATAGCTAGCTGTCACCCTCTGACCTGGCTCCACCCATCCATACCCCCACCCTCAGCCCTACCCCTCATACTCCAGAGGGACCACGGGCTGCCCTTGAACTCCTAGAGGAATCCTGAGGTCCAAAGGTAGGAAGGCCTAAATCTGCCCAAGCCCCCCCAAAAAACAAACTTGCTACCATTGAGTCGATGACGACTGGTGGCGACCCTACAGGACAGGGTGGAACTGCCCCCTGGGAGTTTTGAGGACTGAAATTCTCCCCAGGAACAGAAAGCCCTGTCTTTCTCCCTCTGGGAAGCTGGTAATTGCAAACTGCTGACCTTGAACATAGCAATCCAAAGCGCCATTATAATGACACCACCACGGCAGCAGCCTTGGTCACTCTGCAAAGTGAGTCTGATTTCTTCCAGCCACCAAAGTCGCGTGGAAGGCCATCCGGGTTCAGGAACTAGAGGACAGTGGCCCAGGCACCAGGTCTCCCCCTCCCAACCCCCAGACAGAGCAAAGCTTCGGAACTGAGGAGAGCCAACCCCTCCCAGGAGCCCAATGCAATTCCCTCAGGTGTAGCCCATGCCAGGATCCAGATGGGGACAGGGACATCCCTAGCCAACGTTGGTGTGACTCATGGTGTCAAGGCTCAATGGCCCTCCTCTGGCACCAGACCATACAGAATCCTTAGTGAGCTTTAGTATTCGTCTAATCGTCCAATAATGTGTGATATTGTAAGATATTAGTATGCAAATATGGATTGTTTTAAAACATCTAAAATATTCATAACTAAGTGGAAGCCTGTTTTATTTGTCTCCTATTCCGCTCATTACTTATTTCTCAAATAAGTCATTGGTAGTTTCCCAAATACTAATCACCATAATATTGTAGCTAAGACACCAGAGAATTTGTCAAGATGAACCCTGAAAACATCCACTGGGAGTGACAGTGTGTCTGCTAACACTCAGCATCATGCAGTCGGGTTCCACTCATAGACCCCCCCAGGACAGAACAGAGCTGCCCCTGTGGGTTTCTGAGACTGGATTCCTTAAAGCAGAAAGCGTAAGGAGCACTTGGTGGCTTAGAATTGTTGACCTTGTGTTTCGCCCAAGGTATAACCACTATGCAGCTAGCCTATGACACATGCAAACGAAAACCACTGTGACTTCAACCATGACCATAATTGGGTAATGAGGACATACCTGACCAGTGTGTTAGGTTCAAAATGGAAATTAGCATGGGGTGTTAGCTTTGTGGGTGTATTAATACACCGGCCTCTGAGAAATGTTTTTGTTGTTACAACCACAAGGATATGTGTATTTAAAAGATTTTTTTAAACTCCCGCTGAAACACTACCCACATTTTTAATGAACGATTCCAGTGCCCTCCAATGCTCCCGTCATCCCCGTCTCCCTGGTGACACCACTGGCCGCGGCCCTGGTGGGTCAGGGATCGCACGCAGTGCTTCGGGTTAGCCCACGTGATCCTCCCAACCCTGTGGGGCGTGTCGCTTTGAAGCAGTCCCATTATGCAGACATGGTCATCGAGGGTTCGCCACGGTGCGGTTCATGTCCCTCTCCCGAGAGGGGCGACCCGCCCAAGGCCGCGCGGGCCCTAGGGCCTCTTCTGGACTGTGGCGGCTCCCGCCTGCGTGCCAAGGGAGGCCGGAGCTCCGCAGGCAGGATGGGAGC